TCTCTCTCTGCTTTCACTCTCATGTTGACAAGCCATGTGAAAACAAAACAAAACAACAAGGGATACTGCTGGTTCAAAGCTGGAAAAAGGTGCACAGCAGAGTTGCTTGCCTTTTCAACCTAAGGTAGTCAATCTGCATGTTGAGCAAATTACCAGAGAAGCTGTACTATATGAAGAACAAGCTATTAGGACCGAAAGATGTCTCATTAATAGCAATAAACATGACGCAACCTTGCCTGCAGAAAACCAAGAGTATGGGTATGGGCTACACAGCAACACGAAGAAAAAAAACCCCCACTTTGAACAAACATAATATATGGAGAAATAATTGAACTTGTCAAGAATTTTGTTCTAGTTGGATCAACAATGCCTATGGGAGTACCAACCAAGAAATCAAATGCTTTACATTAGGCAAACTGTGGTAAAGACACTTCTTAAAAGCTAACACTTTAAGGCAAAGTGAGGTCTTTTCAATTGCATACAAGACCTGGAAAATGCAAACAGAAGAAATCATGCATTCTGTAACCTAGAGTGCCGGAACCAGTCTTTGAACACAAATCAAGAGTGCTCCTCAGAAGTGAGGACGTTAAGACTTCAATATGCTCACTTCGGACATGTTATCAGGAAAGATTAAAAACCAGAAAAGACTACCATATTTGATAAAGAGTAGAAAGCCAGTGAATAGGAAACCAACAGTGAGATGGGAGTGATGATAACAGACCCAACAATGGACTCAAACACACTATGATCATAAAGATTAGGGTTGGAAAACATTTAATATATATCGATACACAGATCACCAGTTATCAGTTGGGTTGAGAGCACTAACAAATGCCCTTTATTGTATAACTGTGCTATGAGCATTTTTTGCTAGTTGCTGCAGACTCAACTGATGCATGAAGCTCTATCTTCTGCATCAACCATAACAGTTAAATGTTATCCACTGATCCATCTTTATGCTCATTGCATGTTTGAGTCCACTGTTGAGCATCTATGGTCATCAATCCATCTCAATTGTTGGTTTCTTTATTTTCACTGGCCCACAACAGTTGCTGTAGAGTTAGAATCAACTGTCAGTGAATTTGGGATTTCTGGATGCAATAAAATCACCAAGAAAATGATTTTCCGTTGGAAGATATAATGCTAATATAGTTGCGATAGTTTATTACTGCTAGTTACTGAGTCAGCTCTCCCCTGCTCACATCCCAAGTCCACGTGATGAAGTCCCCAGAGCCTAGCTGTACTTCTTTAAAAGACAGATTTGTTCTTCTGCCAGTCCATGAGACTGTTTATAATATCCACCAGCGTAATGCAAATCCATCCATTGTCTTCTTTAGTCAATGTACAACTTTCACATGCATAGGAGTTGATTAAAATATGGCTTGGGTTTAACATGACAAAATAATTTATGAATTATGAAGGGTTCATGAGGGAGGGGAGAGTGGAGAGGGAGTAAGAAAAACGAGGAGCCGATATTAAGGGCTCCAGTAGAAGCCAAATGTTTTGAGAATGATGATGGCAACAAATGTACAAATGTGCTTGACACAATGGATGGATGTATGGATTGTGATAAGAATTGTGTGAGCCCCAATGACTTGGGTCAGTTGCACCCTAGAGCTCTTCAACAAACAGTCTTGCTTTGATTTTCATAGTGCTATGTGTGGTTGTTAAGATTTCTTATTTCCATGATCATTGTGGATCCCAAAAGACAAGGTTATCAAGAGAGATCAGTTCCTGGAAAAGGACATCAAACCAAGCTAGGTAAGGTAGAAAGGAACAGAGAGAGAGAGAGAGAGATTCTTGATGAGACAGACTGGCATAGTGGAGGCAACAATGGGCTCCAACCTAACAAGTGTAAGGACAGGGCAGTTTCACTCTGTTGTACATAAGGCTGCCGAGACCGAGAAGACACCACAGTTGTACCTAATGAGTGAGCTCCGATTCAAGGTGACACCAGTAAGTGAACAAAACACCGCTTAGCCCTGTGCCATCTCCAGGATACTCGTTATATTTGATTCCGTTATTTCAGACACTGTGTCAGTTAAGCTCATCAAGACTTCCTCCCTTGTTTTGCTGCCTCTGTATTTTACCCAACAGGATGTCCTTTTCCAGAGAGGTGCCCCGAGGAAGTAAGTGAGTTTTGCTATTCTTGTTTTGAAGGACAATTCGAGTTGTATGTCTTCAAGGGTAATCCCCACACCCCAGGTTCTTCAGCTTTCCCTTTGCATTACCCAATTTCACACAGGAGGCTACGGAAAGACTTGAACAGGCACATCAGAGGCCGGGTAATTTGCAGCCCTTTCTGTGGTTCATTTTCGATCACATTTACAATTTTAGCATGTACCTTCTGTTTTGCTCCAGCTTGTTATATTGACACAATATTCAAGATGTCTACAATGATACGTACATTTTATATTACTTAAGATTCTTTAGGCAATACATTATTTTAAGTAATTCTTTAAGTATCTGCTTGACTAGTAATCAGCTTGACACGTCACCTTTCAGGACAACTTAAATCCAAGTTGTCTTTTCAAGATACTTCTACAACTGGCCAGAATATTTTGACCAAGATACTATAAAATCTTACTTCAGTTGAATTTGGAGGTTTGTCTTAAGAAAAATGGGGGGGGGGGGGAGAAAAATGAGTGTCTTTAGTAGTTGGTTCTACATAGGGATTTCAAACTGACTCATTCCTGTTTGAGAGGCTGTCAAAATTTAATACTAAATCAGAAGCCTCATCCCTTCTGATTTAGATTCTTATCTAGATTTCTCAGGTATTTCTCATGTAGAAGCACAGGAGGAACCTGTTAAAAATCTTGATTCAGTGGGAGAGCTTCAAAATCCAGTCCCACAATAAAGGGAGTCAAACCAGTACATATTAAAGGCATGTTCATGCTAAACTTAATCGCAAGGTTAGAAGTTCAAAACTACCACCCTCTCCTAGGGAGAAAGACAAGGCTTTCTACTGTAGATATTCTCAAAAAACCCACAGGGATAGTTAATTCTAACCCTGTCCTGTACTATAGAATCACTAAAGTTGAGATTTACTCAATGGCAGTGAGGTGTTGTGTGTGTGAAATAGCATGATGAAAGTTTTAGTGAGAATTCCCAAAACATGACATGGACAAGTAAAGTGTGCACATACTGTTGATGAGGTATGAACCCAGTCCAAAAGAACGCCCATCAAAAGCCCCAGGGAATGGCAAACTGAGTTGATTTATCAGCCAGAGTGAGATATTCAGAGTGGTTACCTTGTGGAATAAAGATATTTAACATGTAAATGACTGTATTTTGAATATGAATTCTTTACTCAAAATATCATAACTTGTGTCCATTTAACTGCAGCAAAACAGACGAAACATGCTATTAATTTTTGAAACACAAAAAATGACAATCTAACCACAGAAAAGGCTACAAATTAAAGTCACCTGTGCACAGCAGAATCATTGAGTGGGGTCAAGGGTTGCAAGGAACTTTGCAATTTAAAACACCTTTCTAAGATAAGAACATTTAAACTTAAGTGACTCAGCAGCAGTTCTCAACCTGTGGGTTGTGACCCCTTTAGGGGGGAGGGGCTAAACGACCCTTTCCCAGGGGTCACCCAATTCATAACAGTAGCACAATTAGTTATGAAGTAGCAACGAAAAATAATTTTATGGTTGGGGGTCACCACAACATAAGTAACTATTAACAGGTCAAGGCATTAGGAAGGTTGGGAACCACTGCCTTAGAATCTAGCTATTAATGAGAATCCAGAACAAGATGGAAACAGTGAGAAAAAAAAAAAAAAATCAAGAGATCAATGAACCCCCATATGGTCAGTAAGCGGGCCACGTATAAGCACCAAAGAATCCCATCCTGTGCCCATTCATACCAAAATACTAATGCAAAAATGTAGCTTTGGACCAAGTAGACAATGTAGCATAAAAGATTTCTTAAGAATGAAAATATTTCCCCACCATTGCAACTGCAAGAACCATCAATACTGATAATCTTCTGAGTACTTTACTGTTGATTCTATGAATGAGTTTTCACCCATCAATTGATTCTGCCCATCCTGCAGTACATTTCATTCATTGTCCATTTCACATTCTGTTCTGCTCACATTTTCTTTAAAACATCTAGCTGTTTAATGCCTTTTAAAAGAACAGAAAATGCTGACTGCCGTATCATACCTGTAAGCCCAAGATTCCTAATTAACATAACCGTGCTATTAACATATTCCATGTAACTGCACTACTAGCCTTGGCAGCCATCTTGAAAATGATGCCCGCCTCACAAGAGAGAGGTAAGGAGAGCACTGTGTAAACTGCACATTTTGATGACTATTGCTACGGAGAATTTTGGGCTGTCTTACAGTGGCCTGTAGCTGCACCTTCTATTACAAGATCAAGCTTTCAACTGGTCACAGGCCAGTTCAAGGCCACTCTAGTAAGCAACCCTAGGTTTAAATAAAAATGGATTTCATTAGTATGGTTTTGGGAACAGGAACGTCAAGATTAATAGGCCATTTACTTCCAAATATGGGACTTATTCTGTGAACACACAAAAAACCCTACCGTTCTTGTGGCCAAAGCAGGCAACAAACATAAATCCCCCCCTCCCCGACAGTACAGTCAAAAGACAGCATCTATTGCAACGTTCAACAAAGGCAATATAACCTTCCGTTACAGTTGCCCCACATCAAGGATCCTTGACACCTTCCTGGACTCTCCCTAACGGTTAAGGTATCCCATTTATTCAGCCTGCCTTTCTAAGTAGCTTTGTGCCCTAGAAACCTTGAAAGTTATATTTTGACTCCTCATTTGGCTGCAAAACAAAGAAAAAAGCAACCCACTCGGTCCACCAATCCTTTTCAGCCATCAATGAAAAGCAAAAAGCACACCAGCGCCCCTCAGAACCTGCTCGGCAGGCCGAATCCGGTCCCCCCCAAACCACGAAAAGCCTCGAGATGGAGACACGCAAGAGGTGGGATGGAGGCTTCGCTAGGGTCAGCTCACCTGTTGATGAAACCATATCCGTTCCTTACATTGAACCATTTTACTGTTCCCAAAACCTTCGTTGCTGGGGGGTGGAAAAAAAACCCAGGATTACCAGACAGCCCTTTTGGAAGCACAGCCACGCTGCAGCACCCGGCCCCTCACTGGGTTCCCGGCCACCACCACCCACCCCCCGC